ACACACACACACACACACACACACACACACACACACACACACACACCCAAAGATAAGGAATTAAAATTTTACTGTCCCAAAAGAAGAATCTTGATTTATGCAGTAACAAAAACAAAGAAACAATTTTTTTTTCTCAAAAGGAGACAATTTTTTGTGTGTCCCTAAATTACTGTATCTGCTGTTTCAGCATTGACCTTTTAAACCAGAAGCCTTTTTTTTGCCAGCCAGAACTGCTCTTCACTTATCTTTAGAGCTTTCCTGTTGTTTTATTTCCCTCTCTGTGACTGCCTTCTCTTGTGTAATCACAGGAAAACAGAGCAACGGGCAGGAATGGAAGAAGACGTAGGTGGAGAAAAACAGAGAAAAGTAATTAAAACAAAGTGCTTGAAAAATAGGAGCGTGCTGGCCAGGGACCGATAGATGCAGTTCTACTGAATCGAACAGCAAGAAAGGATTACCGTGGGGGGTCTAATGTTCCTGGCATGTTGGGAAATGATTTAGACTAATGTATGTGTTCATATATGTACAAATACAAATGTGAAAAAAACATACATAAAGTATATTTTAAGAAATAGCCATTTTYAATTGGATCAAGTGTTTCTTAATGTTTTGGTTGTCTGTGTAAAGATCTGAGGAGGTGCTTAAAGGAAAGCCAAAAAACAAAGTCAGGAAAAAAAAGGTGCTAGACAACAGGTTGCACCCCCAATTCATACTTAGAGAGTACCATTTTATACAAAATGTTGTACAATAGGGTGCAAAATGATAATCTATGCACATATTATTATTATTGGCATTTAAAATAGCTGGCAGGCGAAACACTAAATAGCATCAACAAACTGGCCAATATTTCAGTCCTCACAGGAATATTTGACTGCATTAAAAATACAGCACAAAGTAAATTTGATTAAAATCTTTGACAAAACTCCAGATAACTACTAAATTCAGTTATAAACTACAAAATTATTTAGTACACCCCTTTGATTTTAAGTGTTCTACTATTTTAGCAAAATGAAAGCTACTGATTCAGTGATTTGCATAATACTTATGACATGTTTTATTGATGAAAGCCAATAAAAACAATACAATGTCAATTATTAAAAAATTTCAGCTCAATACATGCAAAAGGACCATTTTATTTTAAAATCCAAGTAACACAATTCAAAAATTATTTTAAGAATGCATCTAATAAAAGTAAAAATCTAGGAATTACATAACAAGATGAACTTGGAAGACATTAATCCCTCCAGAAACAACACCAAATTCCCTTATGAACTGTTTTACCATTTCTATATTTAATTATAAAGTAGGACACTATGGATCAGGTTACAGTCTAAGGCAGGGGTGGGCAATCCTGGTTGCTGTCATGCATGCTGTCTTTGTTCCTCTGATCCAATACCTGATTCAGTGACTGAATTCTCTTCTCAAGTTCTGCCTAAAACCAGGTGTGTTGGAGCAGAAAAACCTCTAAAGCATGCAAGATAGTGGCCCTCAAAGACCAGGATTGCCAAGCAGCTATGGTAGTCTGATTGGGTCTACTGAATCTTGTTTTGGAGACTTGGAACGCTACGTCACTGGTGGGGAATAAAGCCAAAAGTAGAGGTCAGGGATGAACTGGGAGGACGTTTCCCTCTTAAATTTCCATAGAAAGGAAAGTAAAGACCTGGTTCAGTGTTCCACTTGTAAAAATAAAACAGCGTTGCCTCTACTAAATCTGAAGTTTAACTATCAGTAGCACTCTCTCTCCTCTCTTTTGAGCCCTGGTAAAAATGATTCTAAGGAGCCTGATCAGCGTGATCCCCTTACAGCTGGAGCACATTTTAGTCTCCCTTTTCCTGTCCTCTACCCAAAGAGACATAGGCAGATCAACTACAAAAAATCTAGCTAACAAACACCCAGGGCCTTGATGAAACAAGTGGAAATATAATCAATTCCCAAAGCTTTGTCACCACAGAATTTAGGTAATTAAACACCTAAACTGTCATGGCTCCGTTAATAGGTCAATCCCTCCTAGACTACTTGATGTCTGCTTTCATTAGTGAACGTGTATCAGTTGTGTTGAAGCAAACATTAAAGTGCTTATTAGGAATGTGCGATACGGCAAAAAATTCACATCATGATATACATTATGATGAGTGGCGGTAACAATATATATTACGATATAAAACTTACAATAGAAAATAAATAAATCACACATTAATTGAGTGGAATAAATATGTATAGGTAAAAAATAGACCTTAAAATCTCCTTTTTTAAAGGGACACTTTAAAGTCTCCCATAAAAATCTAAATTTAAGGGAGATCTACCTGGTTAAAACAAACAAACAAATATATATATACAAACACACACAATAACTTTAATGTAATAGATATCTGCATCCATTGGATGTTGTGTTTGGAATCACCAGCTTCGTTTTAAGGTGGTAAAAMAAATTGTTTTTATTTATTCCTTTCTACACACTTTGCAGATTATTTTTTCTGCACTCCACGTGTTTAATCTGTGCGCGCTCCGGCGGGGTGACAATCATCCCGTTTATGCTTTACCCTTTTTTTTTTGGAAAGACAGTCTGACTGTCACCCTTTCCCACAGCGCTTCTCCACTGTACAAGGAGACAGTAAAGGCTGAGTTATAGTTACGCTTTGGAACGCACGCGCGAAGTGGGACCGCAGGAGAAATGAGGTCCAGACTCAGTGAGCTTTTGTGCATCCTGGAGCACTACTTCCCCTGCACTTATAGTCGCCTCGCTGCGTCATGTGCCGCGGTGCGCGCTCCTCCCGCAGCAGGCAGTGTGGTTGGTCGACATCTGACCGGAGGACGCGCCGTCACGTAAACATGTAAACAGTTCGGCGTTCATTTTCACACACCCGAACCAAGTTTTGTTTGTTTTTTTCCCCTCTTCATTTGCGCTCTCAGCCATGCTACTTCCCGCTTCCTCTGTTTTGACTCCAACCGGTTAAGTCATCAAAAAGAATTGCGCGGTTGGCCGGTAGACTACAGATCTCTATCATAGGACAAATATCGTTTCTACCGTATATCATTTATATCGCACATTCCTAGTGCTCATTCACCTCCCATTTGCATTTTCAGTTGAGGGCAACAGTCCCACTGCAAACACTACTGACAAAAGACCTTTGCCTGATGACTTTCTTCACCACAGGGGTCCACTTAGGGGTTTTCCCAAGAAGCACCAAACACCTTAAGGCCACAGTTTTGCTTAGTTGTACAAGCAGTGACAGGTCAGAAGGCAGACTATTCAGGCTCCATGTTACCTGCCTCCATTACAGTTCTGGGAAAGCTCTACCTGTCCTGGAAGTTAAAGATTTCCTGGACTGTGCCAGATGTTTCCAACACACCCATACTGTATGCTTGGATTTGATACATCTGTTTAGCATCCTCCTCCTGCCACCTTATCTAACCCACCACCAGGTGGTGATCAGTTGATAGTTCACCCAAATGTCAAAGAAAGATGATTACAAATCTGATGACAAAAAACAAGCACAGACAAGCATTCCTACCACCCATTATAGAGCCTACTACTCTTAGGGTATGCCAGCAGATTTGTTCTTTTTTGTCCCTACTTGGTTTTTCTTTCTCCCTCACAAACATTTGGCTAAACCCGTGAGTCACCCTGTTTGTATAGTTTTCCTTCCATCTTGCTCTACCTTTTTCATATTCCCCCACTCTGTGATAAGACAGACTTCTGTTCGGCTTGTGTGTCAACCTGCTGAATTTCAAACAGGCCCCTTTACAAAAACCCAGAGCTAGAGTCTCTCCTCGCTCTGCTTCCAGAATATAAACTAGTCCTGCAACACTACCAGGAATCTGACTCCCAAGTCCACCAATGCTCTTCTGATCCAATGTTGCATCAAAAGAGACATTATACATATTCAAAGCTTTAAACATTTATACATAAACTCCACTTTATAGAATTCCCAAGCTGTGAACAGTCTGAAACAAGCTGTGCCCTAAAGTAAACTTGAGACTAATACATTCTGAAGTGATTCATTTATCTGCACAGCCCTGACTTTTGATCAATTCATGATTCTACGATTGGAGATAATGAATGCCTAAATCAACAAATATCACCTGGACACCTGTTCATCCAACACAGTCATCTTCCACATATTTTATCACATAAATCAAACTAAATTTTGATCACAAGCAGAGTTTGTCTGATATTGGTAAAAGCAAGAGTTCTGGGCAGAAAAAAGTAGCTTTGTCCAAAAAGGCAAACCACAAAGGGCTCCTAGTTGTATTTTAAGACAGAGAAACACTTTTTACCTTATTGAGCCATGTCTCAAACTTATTTTCCTCAGTTGTCAAGAACAAATCTGAAAAGACAGAAAAATCAGACAGAAAAAAGACAAGTTATTAAGTAGGATATATTGGTTAATGTGATATTTGTAAACAAAGAACATGCATTTTTAATTGTTATAGAGAAAATGCTTTAAACTAGCTGAAGTAAAATAAGTGACTCCTGTCAGCCTCAGTGATCAGCTGCAAATCTATTCTTCCCTGAAATGTTGGCATACTAATCATAAAAATAGATATACACACTGCTCCATATGTTTTTAATTCCTTATATTCTTACCTTCCTCTTTAGCAGAGTCAAAAGCAAATGTTGCCAAATTTTACTATTTATTGCTTATACACAACAGGACATATTTAACAAAGGTGGCTGTAAATTGCACAAATATGATAAACTAGAGTCATGTTTTATACCAAACATTAGCTGAGAAATACAAGAGCTTTTGTATTTTGGCTTTTGAGAAGAACATAAAAACACTGGCACCTCATTTATGATGTTTCTTTTATTGTAAAGTTTTCTATAACAGTCTCTGTGTCACCAGCATTAAAAAAAGTTATTACAAAAAAAAGATCCACTCCAGTCAACACATTTATTTTACTATAACAGGCTAACTACAATGTCATCTTGCTAACAATTGCTTTCATTTAAAAATAAATAAACTTGATAGGACAAATGTTGACAATTGATTTTAGTGTTAAAAAAGTACAAAATGTTTTCATGGTGGAGATAAAAACAAACAAAAAAAGGACAGAGAAGTAGAGGAAAATGTATAGTGAAGAAATTGTCTGCTTAAAGCAACAGGATTTCACTCAGCTTTTGAATGTTCACCTCCAGGTAATGCCTGTAGCTTGCTCTATTGGAATCCTATAACCTGCACTTGTCCTCATATTGCTTGCGCTTGAAGCTTGAAACTGCAGGCTGCACTTCTAATGTGGTTTCTGTACATTTCTCCAGGAGAAGAAGGTTACTTTCATTGCTATGTTCTGTGGTTCTGCCCCAGTAATTGGACATGAAATAAATATTGACATTGATCTGCCTCAGGGAGCAGCTTGACTTGATGTGTTGCAGAACTCTGCACAGGAAATACAAATGATAATGAACTGGGTGAAAAATAAAAGACGAAAGGGTGGGTCAGTAATGACCTGAACAGAGGTCATGTGCAATGTCAGTGGCTTCAGTGGAAACCGTGCATTATGGAAAGAACTGGAAAGCTACATACAGTATATAATTATAGTAATGAATTAAATATCACAAACTTTGCTTGAAAATATGCCAAATCCCACACAGCTTGACTTAATGATATGGCAACTGAACTAAGCTTTGTACTCTAACAGATGGGCTCTGAAACATTTCAGACTTCTCTAGCAGTCCTCCTGAGAGCCACTGAGGAGAGACTCTGCTCAGATCCAGCTCTATGTGATCTGCACTATCCTAATATGTCTAACTAGAGCTTAAGCTTAGTACTATTCTTAAATCTAGGTTTAAGAATATATGCTTCCTAGCTGCACCTGAAATCTTTTTGACTTCCCACTTCGTAGGATTCCCCATGATTATACGTATATTACATTAGTTGATAACTTGATACTGTTCAATTATGTCCGCACTCAGGATGCAGACTTTTTACAATAAAACTTTATTTTAGACTAGCTGTCAGCTTGAACTCAAAGCTTAAAAAAAGGCAAGTAAATTAACAAATCCATGCATACATTATGCACACAGACACTCCACAGGGTTCAACTTAATTTGTACATTGTGTGTATGTGCTTCTCTGTGTTGGTGTATGCATTTTGTAGTCACAACGGGTGGTGTGTTGATGAGCTTAGTTAATCAGCCAATCAGGCCTCTTAGACAGAACCCAGCCGGGATTGGTTGATTAGATGCAGTGTTGGTGTGTCAGTGAGAGYAGCATGGCAGAGCGAAGGGATACACACAGATCTTCGTTTTGTAAACACTTAAAATGTTGCTGTGGAGAAAGTTCCTATTTTTATGTACTTTTGGTCTCTCTCCTTTGCAGAATGAACATGATGAACAGTCTGAGCTGAAAGGTTAGAGTAGGGACTTAACTTTACCTTGCCCTTCATTAGGCACACTGTTCGTTGGTGACTCACTGTTTTAAGAGTGTCCACAAATTTTAAAAATATATTTGTTGTTAAATTAGGACACATGATTTTAACAAGTCTTTAAAGATGGTCCTCACTGCATTGTCCTTTCTACTCTTCTCTTCTTAATTCTTCTTTAAGGCCTTGGAAGAAAGTGTTCTTTACAGTCCTATAAAAGAGCTGCTTGCTCGAAAGTGCTGCCACCATCTTTCACTTTAAATGTATCATTTCATGCTTTTAAATCCTTCTTTTTCACATCTAAATCATTCACTTATGGTCTATTTAAAATAAAACTGCAACGCTTTGGTATTAATTCCTCGTTTTTGTTGCTCCACAGACTCCTTGCTTTCCTTGCTTTACCCCTGTTCTGAGTTGCGCCTCAGAGCAAGCAGTTTTTGGTGGCGTCTCTTTAAGTACAAATGAGATATTTCACACCCCGCCCCCTCCAGGTCGCTGAACGTTGGACTCCACCCCGCTCGGCCATGTTTGTAGTTTCATAGCAACAACACAGTTATCTACCGACTAAAAACTGTTTTTAAGATAAATAAGATAAGATAAAACTTTATCGATCCCACAGTCTGGAAATTTGCACATTACTGCAGCTTAATACAAGAGAGGCTGAGAAGAATAATGAAAGATTAATAAAAGAT